GCCATACGGTTTGAAAGCAATATAAGTGTCTGTGTTTGCTTGGTTGGGTCTGAGCGGCTGTGGGACTGGCGGGTGACAGAGGTTTGTCCTGACTGTGAGCGAGGCGGAAAAATCAAGCTACAATATAGTTTGCTTTTTCATACTAGTTCATAGAGATCCCTTCAAGACAGTGGTTAGGGCATGAATTCATCCTTCTTAGTGGCTATATCATACTTCACTATCTGAGTGTATTATATTAATGCAGGCAACATTTTACAGGTAACCACTTTATTGCTATAATGTTAACCATAACTATAATTATTATGATGATGATGAATAATGATGCAATAAACATTTATTAATTTATTCACTTATTCTTTTTATTTTATTGAAAATAGATTTTGTTCATACAATATATTCTGATTACAGTTTCTCCTCCCTCTGTTCCTCTGCACATCTCCAAATGTATAGTTTTCAAAAGTGAATTGAACTGAAAGTTCAGTGAGCTCCATTAAACAAGGGCATGATAAGGGTTCCAGAGAGAGAACGACTTCTCGTTTTCAGATAAAATGCCCCAAAAGAGATCTGCAGCAATTTTATTCTTTTGTTTTTCCTGCAGTAATTCAGAAGTAAGGCTGCAGACAAATACTGAAAAAATGAAGTCATCAAAAGATGTAGCACTGAAAGGCGTATAGGAGACCACGCATAATCAATTCTACAGTTTAAAATCCTCTAAAATCTACAACTTTTTATTGCTTGAAATTTTCATTTTTGCAAAACAATTTATATAAAGTGTTTTGAACAAATATACCACACCTCTGTTTCATCACTACCGTCCACCATATTTCCTCTGTTTCACATTCTCTTCTTTTTAAACCCAGTGAGTTCACTTAGTGCTATCATTATATGAATGGATATAAGGGCCATTTACTGGAGCATAGGAAGCCTATTAGGGTCCACATACCTGAATAAAACTGTCTCTCCTGCCCCCAGCATCTGCCAGCTGTCAAAGATTCTAAGCTAGGGGCAGGACTTCATGAGCTCTTCCCCTATCCCTGCTTGACTTTTTGATGGCTTGATTTTGTGCACATCTTGTGCTCATAGCACTCTGATTTTATGCATCCAGTGGTTTCCCCAATTTTTTAATTTATTTTTTATTTAAATTTTTTTCAATTACATACCAACCCCAGCACCCCCATTTCCCCCTTTTCTTGTCCCTCCCTTCTCCTCCCTATCCCACCTGCCATCTACTCGTCAGAGAGGATGAGGCCTCCCTTGGGTAGTCAGCAAAGTCTGGCATACCAAGTTGAGGAAGGGTCAAGCCCCTCCCCTCTGCATCAAGGCTGAGCAAGGTATCCCAGTCATCTAGTACCTCTTTATCTTACAGTCTTTCTTTTTCTTTGCTTATGATTCTTGAGCCTTGTGAAGAAGGCGATGATATGGCTGTCTCATTTAGGGCTGAGAACTCTGCAGGTCCTTGATAATATCTGAATCTTTTTAAGCACTGACATAATCATAAATTTTATGCCATGATACTTTGCTTCATGTGCAAACTTATCAAACATTATATATAATCACCATCATTTGTATGAATTATAAATAAAATATAAAATGAAAGCCTTTAGACTTGATATGTCCTAGGCAATTCATCACATATATGCAAATATTTTAAGATTTAAAAAAAAGGAATTAAAGAAAAAAACTATCTACTATCTTCCCCTCTAAATTTGATATGCTTCTGGTTTTTCTAAGTATTTTTGATAAGGGATGTTGACTCTCTAGTTACATGCAGATAAATCTGTCCTTTCTATCTTTTTAAAGAATTAATATTTTTTAACATCATTCCTACTTCTTTTCTACTCTCCAACCCCTCTTATGTTCTCTCCATTTCTTCTCAAAATCATGACCTCCTCTTTAATTAGTATTGACCACTTGGGATTGAACAATATAAAATTGGGGTTATCCAGGGATAAAACTCTCACCCTCTCTCTTCATCTCTCCACCTATAGCTCCTCATCTAAGGACAAGGACTTGTTAAATTCCCCATGTCCTTGTTAGTTTGTTGACTGGTGTTGTCATTATGCAGATCTTGTTTAGGCAACCACATTGTTAATATTTCATGGGCTCAACATTTATTCCACATCTAGAATACACTATCTAGCAGCAAGTGTCCTGTCCCTTTGGCCCTTACAGTCTTTCTGCTCTATCTTAGGCAATGTTTCTGAAACCTTAGATATAGCAACTGGGCCTAGGTACCTCACAGTCACTTATCCTCTGCATTTTGTCCAGTTGTTCATGAGTTGTTTACTCTGGGTTCCAGGAATATTTTGGTAATATTACTTATTCTTATCTGTAAACATGGCAAATCTTTTCATATACATTCTTCAACATATTTTATCAAGGATTTCTAGATTTCAATGGACAGATTTTTTTAACTCCTGTGTTTAATTTTTTCCTAAATACTTAATTTCTTTTGACATTATGGAAAATGGGATAATTTTCCCTCTTTCCACTCCAACTACTCCCATGATTCCCACTTCCTCTCAAAAATTTGTGACCTCAAAGAGATGTCTGTATCTTAGTGTTTATGGCCATTGTATTAAGCATCTATGGTTCTGAAAAAAATAAAACCACAACTGTTTGTTATCTTATCACTACCTTGGGAGACCAATCTCCAGCTGCATAGGTCTGAAAGGAAATCTGTCTAATTGACACATGTTATGATTTTTTATCAGAAGGGGTTAGGGAAAAGACACACACTCTTTCCTTCAGACATTTCTTTTGTTCTTCTTTTGTATTCTGATTTTGTTTTCTATATTCTTTTCTCCTATCTCTATCCCAAAATGTCCCTTCTGTCCTTCTTGATGTCTTCTTTCTAATTCTCTCATTCTTGATGGTTTCCTTTTAACTCCTAACTCTCATTCTTGACATTTTCCTTCTAACGCTCTCATTCTTGATGTGTTCCTTCAAACTCATTTTAACTATATCTTTATTCTCTCCCTTACAACTTGTATACCCCAGCAAAATCTTTCAGGCAATATAAAAATGACAATGTGGTTACATACTGTTTTTCAAGTGAATGATTACAATGAATACAAATAAAAAACAGCATGTTTTACATACCCATTATATGGTTAAATTTTACATATTACAGGTGAAAAACAAATTATCCCAAGAACCCATGTACATTCACACCCAAGCAACTTGTTACAGATTAACATAGTATAAGCAAGCAAGATATCCTTTTACTGGCAGGCTGCATTTTGCAGTTACAAAGAAAGAACCAATAACTTTATTACTCATCTTGAAAGGTAATCTTATACAGAATTTTAAAGGAATAACAAATATAAACTTTTATATATAAAAAGAATCAGTCAACTCTATTTTAATATTTTAGGGTACATACCCACACTTCAATAGTTTTTTTTTTTTAATCAGGAGATTGAGGGGGGGAATGGGTATAAAGAATGAATTACCATGTCTGGCATCAACAAATCCTAGCAAGAAAGGCACATCAACTAGTGATAATTGGGCTGCTTTTTTTCTTGTTCCTTGACCTTGAAGAGCTCCTTACTCAACTATGTGCCTTTCTAAAATTTTATAATGATGTATTCTTGAGTTTTTCACCATGAAGTTATTTAACAAAAACATTTTAGTCTATCTTTAAGTCATTTCCAAAGCTTTGTTTCAGCTATGATACACTCCAAAACCTGTGGACCCATCTCCCAACATTGATGCTAAAAAAATTAACTTATCTTGGCTACTGGGACTGAATTTTTTTTTCTTAATCATTAATGTAAGCCACAGTCTATATGGCTCCTAAATAGAAACTCATGTGTTGTAGCTCTTTATATAGGCTTCCTTGTTTATATATTTAACCAGCAAAACTCTATTTAAACTAATATTATTATTATCAGTCAATTAGACAGTACAGCTTAGGAAGAAATTGTCTTCATAATAATCCACAGGTAAAAAATGCCCAGTAGAACAGGATGTTTCCATGAGATAAACACACTAAATTACAGGCAGTGGGGATCTCCCCACACCCATTTACACCATGCCAGATACCAGAGAAAGATGGCAGCAAATATGTGAGAGCACAGCAGAAGCAAAAGATAGTCTGGAGTCTGGAGTCTTGGGGCCTTGCCTATCCAAGATTCACCCAACGAGGATTCTTCTCCTGAAGGGCTGATAACTTGAAATCAAATGTCATCTGTTGCTCCTCTGACATGACCACTGGCAGGTCTCAACTGAAAGACTGTCTAGATAATATTGGACTGTGTCCATATTTATGAGAGATAAATTTGGTTTAATGATTGATTTGGAAGGGCCAGCCTACTGTGAGTGGTGTAATTTTTAGATAGGAGCACCTAGCCCATTGAAGAAACCATGAGACAGTAAACAAGCCACTGAGTAAGTCAACAAGTAGCATTTCTCCTTTATTTCTTATCCAGTTCTAGAGCTGAGTTCTGACCCTGACTTTCATTGGTGCTGGGCTATAACATGGAAGATAAAATAAATAAACCCATTCTTCCTACAAGTTGATTTTGGTGAGAGCACTTTGTCACATGAAGAGAAAAACAAACTTTAGCTGTTTATTTTAGTTATTCCTCTGCAATATATATTTAAATCAACTTTCAAAATTAAATATATTTTGATAATATTCTTCCCTTTCTCCAAGTCTTCCCAGATCCTTTTTCTTCCTCCTCACCCAACTTTAAGTTCTTTCTCAAAAAGATAAACCAAATTCTCCAAACAACAACAAAACTCTCAAAACCTAGAAAACAAAACAATACCCCAAAAGAAAACGAAGAAAGAAAAAAAACAAACAAACAAAAACAAGAAAAAAATCTACCAAATTGTAACCAAATAAAACATACAAAAAACCCATGTGGAGTCCATTATTTGTTGATCAACTACTCCTGATCATAATTCCTGGAGTGGTTAGTATACCCAGTGTCATTGCACTGGAGAAAACTGATTTTCCCTCTCTCAGCAGATTTAAATGAGAGTTCTCAATGTTTACCCTAGTAGCTAGATTTTCATTCATTCATTTTATTTTTAAATATCACAAAATAGAATACAATAAGACAACCCAAAAACTATTATGTTGAAGTTGGATAAGACAAACCCACAGAAGGAAAGGAGGCCAGGAGAAGGTACAAGAGTAAGAGACTCACTCACACACTCAGGAATCACATAAAAACACTAAAGTTAAAGCCATACTATAAATATACAATAAATGAAAAGTACCTGGTGCAAATATATGTAAGTCCTGTGCATGCTGTTTCAGTCTCTGTGAGTTCATATAAGTTTTGATCATGTTATTTAAAAGACATGGGTTTTTTTGGTATCCTTCACCCCCTCTGGTTCTTATAATCTTTCCACCTAATCATCCTCTGGTATGACTGAGCTCTAAGAAGAAGGATTTGATGGAGAGATCACATTTAGGGCTGAGTGTTCCAAACTATCTCACCTATCGCATAATGTCCAGCTTTGTGTATCTATATTTGTTCCCATCTCCTGAAAGATGAAGTTTCTCTCCTGATTGCTGAACAAGGCACTGGTCTATTTGTATAGGAGTTGAATGATTTTACCTTAATTGTTTTAGTATTATTAAAAACTCGGGATTTAGAAATTGAAATAAAAACCCGATAAATCCAAGGAAGAGTGGAAGGATGATTGGCTGACCATACTGTCCATGTTTTCCAGATCCAATAGCCTGCAAAATCTCTCCAGCCCCTTCTCTCTTCCTGTCCCTCTCTCTCCAACTAAGAGAAGACTTAAAATAACAAGAGTACTCAAGAGTGCTACAAGTCTATATGACAATGGCCGTGATGATGGGTCTGCCCAAACCCACTGACTTATAAACACTTGAAACAGACTTAGTTTTTATGCTATCCATAATTTCGTAAGGTAGTTTTAAAATATAAGATGCTGAAAAACTTGTTTTCATAATACTTGAGGTTGAACAAAACCAAGAATCACTGATAATTTTTGGCTTATTTAACATTCTCAAGTGTAACCATTGAAATCATTTTACTAGCAATACTTAGTGTAGTTTAAAAGGATTTGATTGAATTGATAAAATGGTAATTACTTCTCTGTGTTGTGCTATTTACAGTTGATTAAAATCTACTTAATTTTCTAGCAAGAATGGAAAAATCAAAGGGAATGAAATCCTCATTGAGAGTACACACAGACATCTGAAAATTTAAATGGGGATTTCCCACAGAAATTCTATGAATCAAATTTAGAAAATGAAGTTCAACTGCATGCATAAGGTTCAAGAGATCATAACAAAAGGACATTCCAGTGCACGTCTAAGTCTGTGTTCACTCTAAATCTTGGAATCCATATGTGATATACACTTTAGAGTGTAGTCATATATCAGCAGCAGTCAGCTTGTAACCTCATAACAATCTACTATGTTGAGATTACATTTCTGCCTAACAAAACCACACAGATTTATCAGCTTAAAACAACATGTTTTAGTCAAGGCTTTAGTGTCTGAGTGTTATTTAGCTTGATCATTTACAAGGTTACTGAAGAGCTCTAGCAGACCCAAGCATGGCAAGCATGGTACTGGCAGGTCTTGCCCTTCCCCCTTCTCTCTCTTGTAAAACCTAGATTACATACCTAAAGCTAGCCTCCAAGGTCTGTTCTCTTATTTGGGCAAGTTCTTATGCCAGACTCATTCCTAAGGCTGATCACTAATGTCTAGCTATCAAAGTATTGAAGTCCAGTAATAAAATGCTCCCTCTTTGCCTACTCTAATTAACATGCCCTATCAAAATATACCACCATAGTCTAGCCCATTATAACACAGACCTACCCTTTTTTCCTCTTAAAAAATTACACCTACATGGTCATTTGCTGCTTTTTTTTTGGTTTGACTCACAAATCAGCCACTTTAATTTTCTTCCCTGCTTAATAAAAGATCTCTCTGAGAATCAGGTATTTGTGTATGGTTTGTACCTAATCAGTGTCTGGTAGGGAGCACCCCACTGAGTGCATGTCCCTTCAGTTAAAATCCATTTATCAGTCACAGTTGAGGTCTGATCAGAAGCAAGTCGTCCACTTCCAGGTTTACATGGTTGTTGGTAAAATGTAGAATTAACTTCCTCATACATGTAAAAATTTATAACAGCTTGCTACTTCATGACAAGCAAGAGGCATTCTCTGTCTTTTCCAGAAGTCTATAACTTCCTCAAATGAGTTACTCTGAAGAGGGTACACCGATTTAGGATACTCTATTTTCAGTAACCCCAAATCAATTTATTTGGAACCATATTTAAATCAATAAAACTCCTTTCACCTGTCATGTGATATGGCCTACTCATGAGTGCATTATCTCAACATTTACATTGGGCTTGACCACAGTCAAGAGTTCTTGCCATAACCTGAGCTCCGTGGGTCTGGGATACTGATTAAGTACAGTAAGTACATGAAAAAATGATAGACACCCAACAATGATTGGGTCAGGACAACTCTTGTGCTGTGATGGAGCTTCATATGCTACAACCATTACTACTGGAACTGTCAACCTGTGTGTTAAATACAGTACAGGGAGGGTTTAGCTATCCTAGTTCAGACTACTAGTATCAGGATGTAAACATTTAGGAGGAATAAGATATGGTTGCTAGTTCTTATATATACTGATCAGTTGTCTGTAAACACTGGCAGTTGAATCAGAAGAAGGTTTTGCCAACTACAAGCCAAGCCCATGTGGGAAAGGCTTTACCAATTTTCAATAGTTCTAAGGCTTTGGTCACTGTCATGACTGTGCCCATCTCAATATCACAAAATCATTCAAGATTTCATTCGCTCAGGGCTTTTTGTATGCCCTATAGGTTATATAGAGCTTACATTCTAGGGCTTGTGAGTCCTAGAATTCTCCCTACTTATATTAATGAGTTAAAACTTGAATTTAAACAAGATACCCAAGTGATTTATATATATTTTTAACTTTAAAGCATCTTGAGACAGAAGAAAACAACAACCAACATAGGTTAAATAGTTTGGACTAAAATGTGATTATTGGATAGAAATGGAACAAC